TACAGTTTCTATGCATTTGCTTTAGCATTTTCCTGAAGCTGAGAAAAAACAAAGCCACTACAAAGGCTTCTTTCTTGCAAAGGGAAAATATTGAAGGGTAAGTAAGGAATTACATACATGCTGTTTCACACAAAAAGTCCTTTTAACATGAAGCCCTGTAACCTGCAATTCAAAATCAAACACTACAATTTACTTCATAACATTTCCTCAGGGGCTTGCAGCCAACAACAGAATCCCCTCCTTCTTGCTACACTCAACCTCTTATTTCTGCCCAATACTTGGAAAAGAATTCCCCACACAGAGCTTGCTGGAATCAATGGCAAACAGCAGACAAATCAAAGCATTCATACTTATATAGAGATGCCTTCTAATTACATGATAAAAGAACACTCCAATAAAAAATTATTTTTCCAACTTTCTGAAGAAATGCAGTATAAAGCACAATCACCTCTTCTTGTGGATGTGGTTTGTCAGCCGTCCACACCTGCAGCATGGGTACATGAATCTTCTGGCGGCGTCTGTTCAAACAGGAGAGAAAACCTGACGTTTAATAGATTAATTTAAGGCAGCAGTTTTGTTTTTATTGTGAGTGTACTACCATTCATTTTCTTCAGCTGATGAAGTCTACAGCAGATAAAAACTGGTTATGTTATTGCTTAAAATATCTCTATTAAACGATCTCAATAACACTAACTTGAAGCATCTAGACAGAAATCAGCGACACTGAACAGTATTCATGCAACAATTTATCAGTATTAACAGCACACTTACAACTCCAGCATGAGCACAGCAAGAGCTTAAACATACCCTAGAACTAGACAAGACCATGAAACTTTTCAAATGCAAAAATCTCTTCACCCACTGCATTTTTAGGGCTTTGCTACCCCCCACAAAATGGTTCACAGCTAAAGCTCTAGAACACTTTCAAGTGAGCAATAATCAACGCTATTAGTTCACACTTAAACAGGTACCAAAGAGAGTGTTTCTAACCAGGTACAACTTACTTCAGATAACTTTCTGTTTGAGACAAGAGACGATCCATTTCAGCATCCTTTTTCTCATATAACTCCTTTCCAACCCAAGGCAAAGATGACAGAAATGCAAACATATACCAGTCACATCGCACCTACAGGAAGGAAATATACCAAAACCTGAGTATACAAGTAAGCTCCAGCAAATTTTGTACACACACAAATCTCAATTTAAAACATTAGCAAGGTGTTTTGAAGGAATGTAAAGACCAGAAGTTGCAGATTGGATAGGTAAGGCATGAGAAAAAATATAAATTCTTGAAAAAGTGTAATTTTTCATTTGAACTCTGTTAGGCAGACTTAAAAAAAAAGGGATAAAAGGCATCACTTTCAAAGTTCTTCTGGACATTGTCAGTATTGCAGAAAAGCTAGGCACTCTGCAATTGCCAGAGTAAGGTAAAATAAATTCAATTCAGCCACTACACTATAAAGGACCATACTTTTTTTCTTACTTTCTTAATGTATATGCTATTTCCCAATTGTCACAGGCTCCTTTTACTAATGCTCAGGAGACTGTATGTGTCAATCCAGTTAGACTGCTCTCTCTAAAACCTCCCTGTTCTAAGCATAAGGACAGAACAAATGGTACAGACAAATTGTGAAACAGGCCCGGAGAGCCTACAGATCTTTTGCTTACCTGGGGTACGTCCTCCTCCTGTGTCACACTCACAAAGTTCTCAAACATAGCCACCATTGAAGGTGCAGCTATTACATGACAATTCACAAGATCAGAGAGAAAACGTACCTAAAGAAGACAAAAAAGTGTTCTAAACAAATACTTTTTAAATTGGCTGCACAACAACAAATAAACATTATTGAAATGATTAAAACAAACCTCCAATAAACGTCTAATACTCATCCAGTACCACAAAGACTGAAATACTACACACTGTACAGACTTGCCTTTCAATGACAAGCATCATATGTGCTCCCTAATATATTGTTCGTTATAATGTCCTTAATCTTTCCCATTGCAATTATAGTCTAAGGATAATATTCCCAATTAAGGAATGGTGGTAAACACGCAAACTGATACTACAGAAGAAAACCCTTGTACTTTTACCTATTCTATACAGTATCGGATTACTAAAATAACACAAATTCTAGCAATTAGATCTTATTAGCAAGTGTCCTACAGTTGACTAAACATCAGTCTCTTGACTAGAACCTTAATTTTCACCAGCAGATTGGGGAATGTGGCAGTGGGCTTCTAAATCAGACACTGCTGAAGTTGTAAACCTTTAAACAGACAAAAATCTGTAAGTAACAAGAATGGAACAAATGGTTTCAAAGACAGGCAGCACTTAAAACTGACTGCTTGATCTTCACTCTTCATCAGCAGAACGAAACCAGCCATCAAATATAGATTTTAAGGACTCTGAATACAAGGGAATTGCATCGACTTTCTTTTATCTTTTACATTTGACTGAAGAACAAGCAGCAAGAAGCATCTCTGTTTAACGCAAATTTAATTTTTCACTGTGAAAAAGATACAGCTGGAAGTAAATTTGGCAAATGTAATATGACTCCTCGTTCCTGAGAACACACACTTCCTCTTGGAATATTTACAGTGCACTGCACATTGATGGCAAAAGACACTAATACACATTGCAAGGTCCAGCTCTTCTGTAACAAAAAGGTGAAAGGTGGAAAGAAAAAGGACATGAAAAAAAAAAGACAACAAAACTCCACTTACTAAATGTACGGCTTCATTATACATGTTTACTTTCAGACACTCTTTAAGCTGACGAATCATTGCTTCTACAAATTCCCCACCAAAATTGTAGTTCCTGGCATTCAGCAAACCCACCAATGTCGTGTAAACAGTAAGCTTTTCTGGTAGAAGACGTGCACTGACACAGAAAAAGAAATACTGTGTTAGTTGTTTATGCATCATGTGCCAACTGGCCACTATATAGCATCTTAGAATCTGCTTGTTGTAAGTTAAATGAGAAAAGACATTTAAACGTGATCCTACAGTTTTATTCCACAGTTAATATCTACAGATATTATTTTCTGTTTTAACCACAGACATTCAGTAAGGCAGTTACCACTTTCCAGTACACCTAAAATGTTTGCTTTTCGTTTATATCTAATTGCTGAGTATAACAGAGGGTTGGACAAATAGTATCAGTGACAGAATTTATTGCAAGAATGCAAGAAGTTGTTTTAATTTCACGATTTAGAAGTAATGTTATTGCACAGCATAGGGAAGGCCAGGTCCTACTGTAAAAAAGGAATTTTCCTCTACCATTTTTGTATGTACATAACTGTACTTTCAGAAGTGTCTGTGCTACGGGGGAAGGAAACGCACTACAAAACTTTTATTAAAAATATTGCTACAAAATAGACTTAAAGTATCTACAAAACCTTAGCATAGACTATATAGTTTGCACCACACCCTTGCTTCGGACTTGCCTTACCTCCTGCAACAGACCCTGCTCAACCCCTCCCTCAACACCACTCAGTGACCCTGACAGGGCACCTCTGCTCCAGCACTTAGCACTTGGTGAGGGAGAGGAAGGAGAGCTAGCAGCTACCAGAAACTGGTTTCTGCTTCTCCCATTCACAGTTCCTCTCCTCTAGCTAATGGGCTAACAAAGACACGAGCACATCACTGCCAGGGAAGACAAAGCAGTGAGAAAACATCACAGATAACACAAGTAACTGTTAGCAGCTCGTAATGTTGGTGGTCTTAACCATTTCACGTGGAAACAGGATTTTGCCTAGCATCGCTGTGTTCCCACAGCTAGTACAGACCAGTTCTGATGTTTCTTCTAATTGCTTCGAGCCTTTATACACATTTCAAGTCAAAGCAATGTAAAGAGATATTTTTCTTGAATTACACCCAGTACGTAAATTCCTCTATTTCGTTTGTAGTAAGACAAACTCTATGCCATGAGAGCAATCAGGAATTAAAGCTATTCACGGCCTTTAAACTATCTAAGACTGAACTTATGCACAAAGAAAGCACATCCATATTCCTAGACTTCTTTAATACGTACACAGTACATAGTATTCTTAGTATCTTGCTTTTGTAGTTTGGCAGATCGGCTTCCAAAACACCAGCTAGGCCCTCCAGGTTGCTCTCCAACGATGAATTACTCTAAAATTAAAACAAACAAACAAACAAAAAAACCAAAAACATCATCAACCGGGCAAAACGAATTAGTCCGACTCTCGCATGTAAGTCAATGAAGTGGGACAAGAGCATCCTTTCACGTCCCCTCATTTTTCAGGGCAAAAATCCGAACTTCAGTGCTCCCCAGGGATGCAAGATCTGCCATCGCCTCAGGAGCATCCCGGCAGCGCGGCCGAGCATCGATTAACAACACGGCACGAGAAAAACACCTTGTTTTTCCGAGCACCATCATCTTTTGTTCTGCCACCCCCTCTTCCATCAGTCCCATTGTCAGGACTGGAGCCTTGTGCCGTAGGCAGATCAGTTAATTCTTTCACACCCTTCGCCGACGAGAATCAGCAATCTTTAGATACAATGGTAACCATTCTCCGCCCGTTTATCGCAGGCTGGGAAACATCACGCTGCGATTTAAGCACTTGCCCGCCACAGCACGTGGCTTAGCAAAAAAATGGCAAGTTTCTATCCACATCATAAAATAATTTTTCTTTGAGAGCCGTTACTGCAGACGAAGTGCTCCCACACCACGCACGGGAAGGGGAGAGATCCGAGGGAAACAAGGCTTTAAACTCTCCCGAGCCGCCGGCCTGCCTACCTTCTCTCCCACCCTGCAGATGAGCGACTCGAGCCTCTCCTCGATCTCCGATGGCTCAGACGTTCTCCGCCTCTTGTGGGGCTGCCCTGCTCCAACAACACACCGAGCATAGCGTTACCGACGCCGCAGAAACCCCGCCGCTCCTCCATCCCGCCCAATCCACCCTCCCTGCCGGGCCACCCCGGGGGCGGCACGGGGCTCACCATCACTGTCGTCGCTGTGCCGCCGCCGCGACATGGCGGGGAAGAGCGGCCGGGAGGAGTGATGAGGAGCGGAGCGGAGCGGTGAGGAGCTCGGCTGAGCTCCGCGAAGCGCCGGGCCGAGACACCTCGCGCGGGCCGAGCAAGCGCACTGCTTCCCCGCCCGCGGCCGCACTGTTTCCGGGACGGGCCCAGCAGCTCCCGCCCCCTTTCCTGCGGAACCCGAGCACTTCCGGGGCAGGGAGGAGGAGCAGGAGGAGAGCAGGCTCTTCCCCGCCGAGAGGCGGAGATGGTGCCGGGCGAGGCGGCCCCGGCCGGGCCGGGCTCGCCGCGGGGCAGTGCCGAGGGGGCGGCGGCGGGCAGGAAACAGCGCGCGGCCGCCCGCAGGAAGGTGGGTCTGGGCCGCTTCGGGTCTGGGCCGCTTCGGGTTTGGGCCGCTTCGGGTTTGGGCCGGGCCGGGCCGCGCTGCGCCGCGCTGTAACCTCGGTAACGCGGACGCTTGCGGTGCCTTTCAGGCCTTCTCCCTGTTCGTCAAAGCCAAGGAGGTGCCGGCCGCGTCTCGGTGTCCCGGCGGCGGAGAGGGCGTGCGGTGGCGGTGCTGCTGGCAGGCGTTCGAGGAGTTGCCCGGCATCCACAGGCACGTGGCCCTGCACCACTCCGGGGACATCGGGCGGCAGGCGGGGCTCGGTGCGGGGCCGGCGGAGGCCGGAGACAGCCCTGAAGGCGGCCCGGGCCCGGCTGGCAGCGCGGACCGGCCGAGCGGGCACTCCTGCAGCAGCCCGGAGATATCCTGGGCGCTCCCGGACATAAGCCGCGTCAGCCAGGATGATCTGACAAGGTAAGGAAGACGCCCACTGCTCCGAAGGTCCGGGAGTGGGGCATTCGGCTTTACATGATCTAGGACAGAAGCCAGTAGTACTTCCTATGAGATTCAGTCTAGCGATGCTTCTAAGGTGCAGGAAAACTCTTCCCCGGTATTCCTCTAGATCTTCGGATTCTTTGGGTATCCTTTATATAAAGAGTTAGATCCACTACAGTTTTTAATGGTGGGTTGAACTATGTGGGCTGTATTATCCTGCACCTTTAAAGCAGGCCTGTATGAGTGTTGCTTGACAAGTTGGATGTATAAGAGGGACCACGACAGAGCAGGATATGCTCTACACGGGTTCCTTTCTGCTGCTCGTTCAGGTTCTTGAAGGGCTCATAGTTACAAAGAAAGTTGACAAGAAAGTTTCTGTCTACAACAGAGTTTGGCTTGTGCCACACAGAATGTGGGAACACACAATCTCACAAAAAAATGAGGCTTTTTAAATTTAGATAGCTCAAGTGCTTGAGTTTTCAAGTGCCATTCTGGACAAGTGAGCATTTAATGACATCCTTGTGTGTGCAAAAGTCAGTAATTCTTGTGTTCTGTATGTGGGGAGAGCATATGGTAGGCTACGGGCAGTGCGACTACAGAGGAGTTAATTTTCTAACCAGTCTCAAGAGTTAGAAGTGTGGGAGATTTTTTTTGTTAATATTCCTTCTGTTTGAAATGAACCCAGCCGTGCTAATCCCTCCAAAGTTTGTTTGAGGGTTTTCTTCTCAACACATCTGCCAGAAGAAAATTGTCTGCTTTTTGAATGGTTATTGCTAATAGTATAATTTTGTTCTTTCTTGACATTCTTTTTCTATTTGCTTACCTTTGCCATGCTGTGGGCAGCCAGGTGGGAGAAGTACTTCTCTATTACTGTTACTGTGACGTGAGGGATCCAGAGAAACTCTGTGCTTGGCAAAAGGCTTTGTGTCAGCATCTACATCTCACTGGCAAGGTAAGGTTCAAAGTATTGGTTCTATTCTTAAGGAAAAAAGCCCCACATTTTTATTTAGTGCAGAATGATGGGGTATGTGGAGAACCAGATGTGTTTTGCACAGAAAGTGATAGTCTGTTATGATCCCATTAAGAGAGGCACTCAGACTTGGTAAGGTATCTTTTAGAATTCTGTTTAAGAGCTATCACAATAAAGAAAAAAAAAATCTTTTGGTGCAGGGGACCCTGGGTTGTGTGGCATTGAGTGAGCCTCACAGACAGCCCACAGTGGATACCCTGGCCTTGCCTAACCCTCACCCTTCCCTAATCTCGGAATGGTTACCCCATTCACATCTCTGTTACACATGGAAACGGGAAAATGCATCTTCTTATCACTCTAACCATCAGTCAGAAAGGATATTCACACGAGAAATTCGTGATGTGCTTTTAGATAAATGTGAGGAGATGGAAGTAGCTTAATCCCTGGTGTCAGCAGAGAGCTGCATGCAGGTGTCTCAGTTAGCATTAGCAGGCTGGCTTTATCCTGTGGTTAAAGAGCACATGCAGCACAACACAGCTTGAGGGCCAGGCTGGAGGGATAGCATGGGCCTGGGCCTGCTGCACTCACTGGCCATCTGTGTCCTCCCTCCTCAGTACACAGTGGACTCCCAGTCAGAGTGGCTACACCAAGCTGTAAACCACACTGTTGGGAATTAGGTGAGAGCAGCCAGCACCTTAGACCACACTATAACGTAAAACAGTCTGTTCTCTTCATTGCTGGCAGGCTAGACCAAGAACATGAGTTGCTTGTATAGCTGGCGTCTGGAGGCTGTGGGAGAAGGTGAATTTTAGCCTCACAAAGCTGATGTTCCTAGGCTGTCTGTGGGGAGAAGAAGGGCAATGTGGAGCAGGAGGCTCGTTTTACCTATGACTTGTCTCCCAAGTAGCTTCTTGTTCTCTGCCAGTGGTACATCAACACAGGTCTGGGGATGAAATATTGTCATGGATTCATTTCCTTTTCCGCTCAGCTGTCTTGCCTTGTGGTTGGTGTTTTGCTTGAGTTTTCTTTCTGTTTTTTTCATCTCATCTCCAAAACAGATACAGCACTTACCTTCCCAATCAGTTATTTTTTTTCCTTGCTTCTTATATTCATTGTTTCCCCTTTCCCCCTACCCCCGCTTCAGAGCTTTTGTTCATTTGTCAGTGCTGGAGATAAAGTGACTCATTCCAGAATTTAATATTAGATGCAATATTATGCATATTCACATTTTCTTTTTTAGCTGTGTGAGTCATGAGGCACAAGCCTATTGTTCTTTCTGAGGCAACTTCCAGAGGGAATTCTAATGTTGACTGCTGGATTTGCAGACAGCATTTTCTCTGTTTATACAGTATTTCTGTTTATTGAATGAACTCTTCTGACTGTTCTGGTGTGATTCTTTTAAAATGGCTCAGAAGTGATTCCTGGATTTTGGATTTGGATTCCTGGATTTTTTTTTTCTGTTTATTGTCTTTATGTTCAACGTCAGTCTAACCATATTTTCCTTCCTTTTTCAGTAGTCTCTTTTCTGAACACACTCCTGTGACTGCCGTTTGTCACCCAGTTTGCTGATTTCACTGTGATCTGTTTTGCTGTAACTAAGGCTCAGTCCCAGCTTCTCCTCTTGCCTTCTAGGTACGAGTTGCTTCAGAGGGGATTAATGGGACAGTTGGTGGAAGCAAAGTAGCTACCAGTCTCTACATTAAAGTTATGCTTTCCCAGCCTCTGTTCAAAAACATTTTGTGTCAAGAGGATTTCAAGGTATGAAAAAAATTTTTTTACATAGGCATTGTTAATGCAGGTTGTTTAATATTCAAGAAATAAATGCATTTCTTCTTGACATTATTACTTCTGCCATAGCAGTTCTGCTCCCCCACCACTTATCTAAGTTGGTGGATTTAATCGTACCAAAACGATATTTTTGCTGGTTTTTACCAGAATTAGGAGTTTCCATGGGCAGTGATAGCAGCTGCTACAAGCTTTGGAAGCTATGGGTGCAGCCACAGAGCCCCCCAGTACAGGTGGGTGAGGGAGTGTGTTTAAGCCCCACCATTCTGTAACAAGCACTTACTCCAGACTGAGCAGGCATCATGACATGCACTTAGCCCAAGAAGGCTTTTGCACACTCTTCACGCTGATTTGAGATCCTTGACTGGAAGCAGTACTACTGGTTTAGGTTCACGCAGGATTTGGTGTCCATTTAGGTGCAATGTCAATTCCATGGATTTGGTATCTTCCAGAGAAGACACACAGAGACTATCAAGAGTTTTCTCCCTACTTCACGTAGTGCCTGGCTGGAGCATATGTACTGATTGTTGCCCTCACATGGTGAGGCAGCAGTGGCTGGTCACTGTGTGGCATTCTGGTAGGCTCTGGCTGCCAGCCACTGTAGGTTCTGGTTTCTCTGCAAGGAGGGAGAGCTGCTGCTTAAGCAGCAGCTCCTCTTCACACAGTTTTATTTGCAGGGAGTGCTATTATTTTTTCATAAGCAACTAGATCAAAGGAGTTAGTGAAACTCAAATCCATGCTGAGCTGCAGTGATGATTCAATCTTAGCTTTATAAAGTGTCTGTTATGCTTGGCTGAATTTCAAGAGGACTTCTGTTAGTTACAGTCATATGTATATGCAAAAACAACAGGGATGGAATTTGACCTTGGCAAAACTTTCAACCTTGTATAATCTCTCTGGGCATTAGTGTTCCTTCATTAGTGGACTATGGTGACTACTGTCTCACAGTTCCTCCTGAATGTTGTATACCCAAGTGGGTGAGGCTTTCATGTTGCTGTGCCATGAAGACAGAGAAGAGAGAAGTGAGAACTATGCTTAGGGCTATGAACCCAGTCGCTGCTACAGTTCCTGCAGACTGATTTCCATAATAGTTGGAACAGTGCTGCACAGCACTGCAGTTTTCTTTGCGTGTTTATATACTTGATGGTGCCTAAGGTGTGTTTGAGGCTCAGCCCTGCAGAAATTCTCACTCCCTGCAGCCTACAGTGGGGGTGCCTACCAAAAAAGGGCTTACCAGGACTTCTGAAGGGGAAGCCCCACACTTGAGTTTGGGGAGAGGAGGAGATGCCAGGCTCCACTGTTAACAAATCTTGTGCCTGGCTGCTCTCTCATACACCTCCTTCACATGCACGAACACTACAGTTCCTATGACACAGCTGTGCTTGTGTCCAGTGCCAGAGAGATGAAGAGAACTGCAGGGCTTGGATGTGGCAACATGATCCATTACTGGAAGTCATTATTTCATATTCCTGCCAGGATCAGCATGCTTTTGTAGGGGCCTCAACTTTCTCACAATAAGTGCTAGTAACATGTTTCTGACTAAGATTTGGTGTGCATCCCTGCACCTCCACCAAATGCTGTCTCCCCTGCTGAGTAGTCATTGGGCCTAAGACACCTGTCTTCCAGGTGGTGGTAGGGGTCCACTACTTAAACTTCAGGATTTAGAGTGTGGATTTCAGCAGGAAAGACATTCCTTTCCCTCAGCTACAAAGATATTTCCGTATTCTAATCAGCTGTAGAATTAAAGCAAGTGGGTAATTTTAATTTTGACACCAGGCAAATTTTGGTGAATTGTTTTTGTGTTTGATTTCCTAGAGCAGTGCAGGAGGAGCTCACTGTTTCCCAGACCTTCGAGTTGGAGTATTCAAAGAAATTGTACCTATGGGCATTGATCCAAAGATAGTGTCTTATAAGGAAACTGGTAAGTTTATGTAAAGAAAAATAAAGCCTCTCACCCAAGTGAGAGATGAGTGAAGAATAAAATAACTTAATCAAAAATACTTCCTTTAGCACAATGGCCAGGACACAGAGAAATAGATACAGAAATTGATACCATACAAGTACTCAAAAGCTACTGGTGCAGAGAATTTGCTGCCCCAGATTTTGGCTAGCCAAGTGTATAGCTGCCTCAGAAAACTTCAGAATTAACTTCAGGTTTTCTAGGAGAGTTAAGATGATACGAAGCAGTTACCTTGTTGTGGGGTAGGGACTGCTGACTTGGCTTCACTCATTTTGGAGCCAGCAGCCATGCTGCTGTCTTTTGCATTAAGCAGATCCTAGTTCTGCATGAACTCCATCTGACTACATTTGTTTTGTGCTAACTGTAGCTGTTTAGTGTGGGTTATGCCGGATAAGGTGTTCCTGGCTGTAGATTTGCTGTTAGGATGCTTACATAGGTGGTAAGGAGGAGCACAGCAAATACCAATTAACAGAGCAGCTTTGGCCTTTTTTTTCCACCAAGTGATTTTGTTGGTGCTGTACTTCTTGTCTTGGTTTGAAGGACAGGTGTCTGCCAAGAAAGGCAAGAGCCTCTTTTTAAAATGGACAGTGTAAAACTCCTACCTCCAAATTATTATAATTTTGAAATTAAGGGGCTCTTAGGCAAAGATATGGGAATAGGAATAAGAGTTTGTTGGATCTCAGGAAACTGAAGATTTTGAGCTTTCTGTGCTTCTAGGCACAGACGCCCTGGAAAACACTGCCCTGCACTTGAAACCTTGGAGAAGACTTGTAAATATAAATAATAAATTAGAAATCACAAACGTGTAGTGAGTTAGATGTGTGTGTTTTCACTATGTGATGAGTTTTAAACTTAAAGTTTTTACAGTATAGTAGGAGTTAAGGGACAAGATGGAAAATTTTGAGTAGTGTCTTTTCTTCTTGTTCATCTTCTTGTTTTCCTTCTTCACAAAACTTAAGTAGTAACCTTTAAATTGGTCAGTCGAAAGTCACTAAGAGTCATGAAAATCTATTATTAGGTCAAAAGTATAAATAATATAAGTGTAAAACTTTTATTAGTGTGTTTAGCTTTAAAAAGCCTTGAAGCAGGCTCAGCTAAAACCATTTTTCCTACTTCTAGCAGGGAGCTAGAATTACTGTTTTACTTTCTGTAATTCTCTGATAAAATATAATAAACATCCAAATCCAAACACAAAAAACCGTCTCAATCGTGTTTCTAATAATCCTAGCTCCGAACAGAAACAGACAAGACTGATGACAAACTACTGATTAGTGGTGCAAAGCCCAGCAAACACTCCAACACAGTTCTTTACTAGGAAAATTAAAATAGAAATACAGTATTACAGAGAACAAACCCAAAAACCCTGACAGAGTCAGAATACAACCTGATGCCCTGTCAGTCAGGGTGTTGGTAGCAGTTCCATTAAATGGTGGCTGTAGTCCTCTTGGATGACAGATGTGGTTCAGTTGAAGCAGTGGTTCTGTAGAAGGGTGCCGTTTTCCTCCAGAGTTCCATTGATGATGTGGAAAGGTCTGTTTTTTCCTCTTTAATCCAGTGGAAAAAGTTGCCTTGGTGTTACAGATCTCAGATTTTCTCTAGATAGGAAAGGCTTGGCTTCTCCCCCTGCGTGGAGCCTCTCCCAATGGGATGATGTAATTTTATCAGTCATTTAGTGGGATTCAATGGCCCATTAAGAGAGATATCTTTCTAGAGGAAGGAAGGGTTATGGAAAAGATAAAGATGAGTGCCCCACCTGATTTTAACAGATGGCCCATTAACAGAGGATATCTACCACAGAGATAAAGATCACTGCCCCACCCGGCCTCAACAGATGGTGATAGAATACACACCTCTGGTCACATCCTGCATTACAACCCAAGACACTTCTACAGGAACTTTTTGTGGATTTGGAAGATTATGTTTAATTCACATTTTTTTGTAGTTTGTGGGATGTATGTTTGGCTGTGTCTTTCCTTTTTTTGCCCTTTTCCCTCCTCTTTAGAGACGTTTCCTGTTACTCTGGCAGGTTGCTTGTAAGGGTATTTTTAATAAGGTAAAGGATTTGGCTGGTGGAGGTTTTTAGCTTTTCAGTAGATTAAGAGTCCTAAGCCCTGAAAGTTGAGAAACTTTATGTAAATTGAAGTTGTATTGAAAGTAATACATGTTTATGGAAATTTTCCATTATTATCAAAAGGAGTTTAATTTAAGAAATTGTATTTCTGCACCTCCAAATGTAAGAGATGAGCAAAGAGAAGTGGAACATGTCACTCCCTCTTCTACAGCTGTAAGAGTAGTCAGGGGGATGCAACAAAAGATCATAGAGATAATACCTATCTGCTGTTTCTTCAATCATATGGAAGAGTGTTGAGTTTTCTTTCATTTGCCAATAGGAAGCCAAACGTGGATAAACTTGGCTGATTGAGTTGGGATGAAAAGGCTTGTGAACAATCACAGAAAATTTTGTTTGGAAATCTAAGGAGAATCTGGATCAGTGATCTCATTTGTGACATTGTTTTGTAGTTCTGCTTCTCACTTCTCTTCCCCCTCCCTCTTCTTTTTTCTTTTCTTTATTTTTTGTTTGTTTGTTTGTTTTGTTTTGTAAAGGAATCCATTTATCCCCTCAGGAATTTCATAGAGAAGTAGAACAGTATTTATCTCAGGCTACTCAAGGACAAAGTGATACCATCTTGCTGGACTGTAGGAACTTCTATGAAAGTAAAATCGTAAGTGCTTCTTGCCTGCTTCTTTCTTCACTTCTGGGGTGAAGTATTTATGATTGTGAGGTGTAACCTTACTGTTAGAAGAGGTTACGTACTCCAGATTGACTGTAATGTGTACAGAGTGCAGTTTAGTAATTAATATTCGACACAAGTAGTAGAGGAGCTGCCTAGCAACTCGGGAAGGAGCCTGCCTGGTCAAGTGCTTTCCAGTGTGGGGCAGGAAGAAAACAAAGTGGTCCATACAATGTGAGCATAAATGTTTGAAGTAGCATCATTTGTAGAGATGTTTTTCAGCATTTTTTGTCTTGTCCCATCTGTCAAAAAGAAAGAGGCATCCTGCTGGAACAACCACCATCCCTCATGCACTGTTGTGGTTTGTCCTTTCTCTGACAGTTCTGCTTAGCTCTCTCTTCTTTGCTTGTTGTGTCCAGAATCCTCCTACAGATTTTAACATATCGTTTGATGCATTAATGCAGCTGAGGAGCTGCCTAAAACAGCTGCAGTGAGCTGAGTGTTCCAGCCCAAAGATTTGTTACTTCCTCTAGTTTGAGGCACAGACCTTAGCAGTAACAGTGCTTGTAACCAGTTGCGTGGCAATCTGTTGTAATTGCAGGGACATTTCCAGGGCTGTCTGGCTCCAGATATCAGGAAGTTCAGCTATTTTCCAAGCTACGTAGATGAAAACCTGGAGCTTTTTAAAGACAAGCGTGTCCTGATGTACTGCACAGGAGGAATTCGTTGTGAAAGAGGCTCTGCTTACCTCAGGAGCAAGGTAACGTGTCATTCTGGGGGCATAAGTGTTGGGGAGTTGAGGCTGCTTTAAGGGCATCTGTCTTTTGTCTTGCTGGTGAATTCTTACTGTGCACAACCTGCAGAATGCGCAGGTGGGGAGATAAATGTCTCTGACATGTACTTGTCTTGTGCTGTCTGTCAAGGACCTGGATAGCTCAGTGTGGCGCAGTATGACTTGCATGGACTAGTGCTACAGCAGTGAAAATAATTACATTATCCATTTCCTGAGAAGAGGTTTGTTTTAGGAGGGCTTGAAAATATTCTGCAGTGTTTCCACAGACTGTCTAGGTTATGCTCTGTAGTCATTACTGCACAGCTTGAGCATCTCTGAGTGGTGAAAATTAGCCAGTCAGTGTTTTTCTTGATGTTGCAGAAGTAAATCCAGCACAGTGCATTGTTCTAATTGTGTTCTAAAATTTCCATCCCACTCTTCTCCTGGATCCGTCTCTCAAGGATCAAGGGAACAGAAAACAAAGGTTCTCCAGAGATTTAAACCTTGGGGTTCTTTTTCCTGCTGCATCAATGTGAACCCTGCAAAATTTTGCTTCTACTAACTATTACGAAATAAAAACTGAATAACAAGGTCATGGAGGTTCAAAAGCAGTTGATCTATGATGCAGCAAACCTTCCTCAGGTGAGGAGGTTAGCAGCTTCTTTTGAGTGTAACATTAAATGAAGAATTGGGTTTGTGCCAACAAGCTAGCCTTGTGGAGCTGCCCAGTACTCCCTGGTGTCACTGTCTAGAGCTATGGCTGCACGTGGTGCCATCTGATGGTCACTGGGAGGCTGCTGCTTTTCACTGACCCCTGGCATTTACAGCATTTGCTTTGGGAACTCTGGCGCACCACCACTGCTGTGGTCTCCTTCAGCTTTTTTGCTAATATGCTTTAAACAGGCAGTGTGCAGAGAGGTTTACCAGCTAAAAGGTGGAATTCACAAGTACCTAGAAGAGTTTCCAGATGGATTCTACAGGGGGAAGCTGTTTGTATTTGATGATCGTTACGCCATTTGTTCCAATGAAGATATCATCTCAGGTAGGACTAGATAATGTAAGTGCAGAAGGCTGGGAAGCTATTGCAATCATTTCCAGAGTTGTGCAGGATAGGGACAACCAAACTGGCCTGTGCAGTTCTTCCTCGTACTTGGTTTGATCTCATAGTGCTGTCACTTCTCATGATGACTTTCAACACTGTGGCTTTAACATGTAACACAGAAATGAGAGGAAAGAGGGTCCCTAATAAGAGTTCACTAAAACTGGAGCAGTAGAAGGAAGTATGCCCTGCAGAACAGCTCTTTTATGAGCCATCTGCACCTATGGAGACATATGTCCAGCACCACAGCTGTTTTTACCTGCTTGTTGCCCACAGTGCTGATCAGACTGTGGTTGGCCAACTGACCAAAGTCTTAAATACTTCTCCTGCTGCCAGCAGTCTTCTGCTCCAGCACTCTCACAGAATATCATCAAATAAGACTTCCAGGTATTGGGAGAGTAGTGGCACTATGCTCTTTAACACTTTGTTATTTTCATGCTTGAGAAATGCTATATACAATGGAATTTCAGTGACCTCTAGTTGAAGTTTTTAAGAACATAGCCTGATCTTCTGGCTGGGATTGCTCTTCAATTACTGCAAATTAAGTAATCTCCTGTTTTGCTATCAGTTGCCAGATACACCAAGTAGCTGGAATTTGGCTCTGGCTCTTTTTTTTCAGGAAGCAGTGCTGTTTTTTCTCTGAGTTGGTAACTCAAGCATAACCTCCCATTCCTCCTCTGCAATTACTCTGTACATCTTGAAAGGGCCTGACTCGGTATGGAAACAGAACACACTCTGGATATATCACAGCTATCCCTACGGAAGTTTCAAGGGGAAGTGCTGTGGTATGCACCTTCTCGGTACAGCTAAAACTGGGCTGTAGCTTTCAGTTAAAGAGTTAAAACCTGTGATGTTCTGGAAGGACTCCACTAGGACTGCAAATGGCACTCTGTCTGCACAAGCCATTGTTTGTAGATGGAAGGAAGTTCAGTGGCATCCCCTTATTTAGCAGGTGACATTCCTGTATACTGGTTTAGTTGCCATCTGCCTGTCTTTCGTCTTCTCTTGGCAGTAAGAATCTCTAAATCTGTCTATTCAGAACTAGAGAAAGCACTAGTGAGCACTCTCCACTTTTCCAGAGGGAAAAGTATCTTAAGTATGTCCAAAATGATGTTTTCAAATGAACTAGATTCTAGAAGATCAAGCTAAACAGGAATTAAAAACCTGCAAGATAATAGCCATTTAAATGAGAGCTGGCAGCCCCCTGGTGCCTTGGCAAGCCCTGTGCAAGAGAACAGCCAGAGCAGTATGGGTGTTAACTTTTTCTTCTCCTCCTCCCTCCAGCATGCAGATACTGTGGGGTGCTGTGGGACCAGTATAAACTTTGTTCCAGTCAGCACTGCCGGCAGCTTGTCCTGACATGTCCAAGTTGTTGCAACAAAGGTCTTACAGCTTGCTGTCCTGTTTGTCAAGAGAAGGCACTCAAGGTGACTTCAAGGGCTTCAGGACAGACACTTAAGGAGGAATGTGAATGCACAAGGAGACGGCCAAGGGTACCAATTGAACATGTCTCACCAAGGATGCTGGACACAGGAAAAGATTAAGCTGTTTCATTGGTTAATCTGGCATGTGCTCATGTGAAGGGCTTCTGTAACCAGTTCTCTATCTGTTAATCATTTGGATTTGGAAATTATGAAAATATGTTGGCTTGGAAAGTCTTGTTCATATGCTGCCTTTAAACATAGAATATGCCCTGGAAACCATCCATTACTTGCCTGTAAATTACCGGAGTGCCCAATCCATCACCAGCACTACAGAATTCCTCTCTCTGGGTACAGTCTTGTAGTGTGGCCTTTACCATGGGGATTTTGGAGCAGAGTATCTGCAGTGTGACAGAACTGCTCACAATTCAAAAGAAACTGAAGGAATTCAAGAACAATTCCATTTTTTTTTCTTCCTGCATGGAGATCAACCTGTCTGACCTCTCCAAGGATCATGAATCTCCTTCAATAGCGTGTAGTAAGGTCTGCAACAGCAGATTTATCAGTTTGGTGTGGATATGTGACCAGATTTGATCCTGAATATATATATTCCACATGCACGCCATCGACCTGCAGCTCTTGCTTTATATCAATAAGAAGCAAGGTGAAGTTACCTGAAATAACTAACTTAACTTTCCTGTAAAACTGTCTGAAAGCAGCATAAGGAGCTGGAGCAAAGGCCCAGAGATACTGTTTGCCCAGCCATACTTGTGTGACATGCAGGATGAACAGCAAACCCAATCTTCTTTCTAGAGCTCAGTCTCCCTGGGAACTGTTTTTTCCCCTCAGCTTGTCAGTGTATGAAATTTGCAGGGCTCAGCTCTGCTTGCACTAAAAAAACCTGACAGCTTTGAAGCATGTTGAAACAAGCACACAAAGAGGGGAGCAGAGAGACTGTCAAAATATCACCATCATGACACTGTTAGTGATGCATGTGTGCATAAATGTCAGCAACAGCTATGAGGAGACTGCAAGATCATTTATCCAAGTTAGATAATTCAAGTTCTGGGGAACATTGGTGCTTTTTAAGCATAAACTGAGTTTTTTAAAAGCTTCAAGATGTTTATGCAATTTCCAGCACTTGTTAGTGGAGAAGTTGTCTTTGAAGGGACCTACAGCAGATGAGATTACAATACTGCCCCACGTGCTGTATTGTGTGCCTGATGCTGTAGAATGGTACAGAAAGGATTTATTAATAGTGTGGAAGATGGGTCTTGACTGAAAAATGTCTTTGGAATTTACTGTCCTGGGAACCAAACAGTAAGCTTTTAGGACATCAAAGTCACTAGATTTGGAGCTTTTTTACTGGCAAATGCTTTTAAAAGCAAGAAAATAGTTTCTTAGGTTTCTGCAATTGCTTAATGACAGGGCTATGTTATTTTCATATAGATTGTACCTTTCTCTTCATGGTGCTATTAATTCAGCAAGGCCTCATTGTTGGCTTGACTAGCAACTTAAATACATGGGCATTGGGTCCACTGAAGCCATGACATTTCTTCTTGCTTCCAGTATTGCTACCATGAAATTAACAGTTCACCAACTGTCCTCATGACAGTTCCATTAACGAGGCACAACCCTGAAGCTTAGAAATATTTCCTTCAGGAATTTTTCTAGTATAGTATTTATTAGTAAATCTCTGAACAACCCATTCTTGAGAAGAAATTAGAAAATTCCTATCAGTATACACCTTCAGCAAAAGTATGAGCAGTGCCAATGTCTCCCTGGCTTCCCAGTCCCAGCTGGCTAGTTAACCTCTGTGGTTTTGAGGACTGGAGTATTTGTGAAGAAACATGCAAGCTCCACTTGTGGGTCTGATCTAAAGCACTGATGGGGAGTGTCCCATGATCTTCCTGTGTTAGGCTAAAAAGAACACAATTTTGTAATTCAGTCTATCAGCAGGTCTGGAACACTGTAATCCATTTGAAATGCTGTTTCTGTATTGCTTAGCAGTACAGGATGGCAACAGCTATATTTTATATGTAAATTTCTGAAACATCTATGATAACCTTTAGTGCTTCCATTATAATTTTTTTTAAGTCCTGCACAAATACACTTAACATGTTATGTTGGAGGTGCTTGATTCTGCACAGATAAACACTGAAACCTAGTCTGCCACATGGTAGACCTGGCTACAAGGTACAATTCTCCTGAGAGCTCCTCAGAGCTGGAGATTCTACCTCAAAGGCAGAGGGGAGCCATGAGGCCTCTTCTGGTCCTTGCTGCACTAAGACAAGGGAGGAGACGAATTTAATATGTACAGATGGATTCCCATAAAGCCATGTTCTCTCTGCTGCAGAGAGCAGAGAAGGGGATAAGAGACTGTGTTAGCCTCCTTCTTGCAAGTTAGCCCATAAGGGCTCTCTGTCCTGTTTTCTGGGTTAGTTTTGTCAGATTAATACAAATAAAGACTTGCTGTGTGAAAAGCTATGTGGTGGCATCCATGCATCTCAGTGGTAATGCCTGAGAGAAGGCACATGAGCTCCAGGAGAGGGAAGAGTTTTCTGGAGGATGGGCTGTAACTGCCAGATGCTGCAGTCAGCAGATGGTTTTTCCTCCCTTTTCCCAGAGAGCTGCTGGGCCCACCAGGAATACATTTGCTCCTAAGTATCATAATTTTGTAGCTCCATTGCTGCACAGCTTAAACCCTTCCACCATAGAGCCTGATGCCTCAGCACTGCCTGTTCTCTGCTGCAACACCTTCAGCTGTCAGATGCATCCTGCAGCAAAACAGCTTTGTGAGGATCAGCCAAGGAACCTGGAATGATCTTGACAGCTTAATACACCTTTGGGCTGCAAGGTTAATATGATTGCTGCTACAGTGAAACACGGGCAAGGTTCTTATCTTTTTTTTTGTTAAGGGCTGGAGTAGTATCCATGGTGGTGCTCCCTGGTCTTCAGATGCATCTCCTTGCATAGCTGTGCTTCTTAGTACCACCAGGATTTTTCAAGATAAGATTAATTTACATTCTGAAACTGAGGGAAGAGCTGAGCCTGTGTCATGCAAATCCGAGTGGATGGCTCAGTTGAAAGTGTGTGGCTCTAATTTGATGATGTAGTTGGTTATTTCAAAATCTTCACAGTGCACATAGAAGACAAGAAGTCTGCCAGTTTTTTTCATTTTAATATATTTTCAAGTATTTTTCTTCCACTTTCATTTTCTGATTTTTTGCACAGTGGAGGAAACAAGCTATAGTGAAGCATTTTATATGACACCACAGGCACATTTATTAAGAGTTGAAGAGCAACAAGTGCATTTCCCACATTGCTGAATAGTGTTTCTCTGCTTTGCTGGTCAGAGCTAAGTTATCAATGGCGTTTGTGCTCAAGCTCTGAAGAAATCTCTGGGACTTTTGCCAGAATGTATATAAAAGGCTGAAAAACTTCACTCTAACAGAAATTTAAAGGCAGATTTCTAGCAAGAGAGAACATTTTCTGGGGTGTGTCATCTGCCCAAGATTAAGATTTGAGTACAGCAATGCTTCTTCCTTGGAGACTTCTTAATGAGCAGGATCCCACCCACATTAACAGTGGGAGTTTTGGATGTCCTGGGTCCAGTCCACTGCAGGTCTGGGAGATGCACAAGCCTGTGGGGCTGGATGATGAGTGTACACTGACAAAAAGCTGTGAGACGTAGTGTACATAGTTTAAGTTCAGATTTGGGATATTTCACTTCATAGCTCTTTTAGGGCAGAACATTTATTCTTGCATTTATGTGGACATAAGGGATAGCGGTAAAAGAAATCATTCCTAGCAGAACAAAATTTAATTAATGGACATGGTCATCTAGACAAAACAGCAAAGGGAGAGAATTCAACCTGTCTCCAGTGAATATCTGGACAAACACTTTTAACGTTAGGAAACTGAAGGGATGGGGAGTAGAAGAGGTTCTCATTTGCTGATTAGTTTGCCCATCTCTGGGGGTTAGGGTTTGCATCACATCTCTGAGAATGACTATTTTTTTCTTCACACGTGCATGGGATTGAAATATATTCATTCATATAAACCACTTGATTTTTGGGACTCTGTTTTATATTTGGTGGCCTTAAGTTCCATTTAATCAGGGGGTGGAAATCAGTTTTTTGCATTTTGATGCATTTGAAACGGCATCTCCAGTTAAATGATTCAGCAAATGTTGGTAAAAAATTGTTAATTTACAATTCTTGAAATTAGCCATGTTTCCAGATGTTAAAAGTGCTTGTTACACTTACTCCTCTGTAGTTACTTGAGATCAACTTTGGAAAAAAAATAAAATAAAAGTATTTTTTTAATACTTCTATAATTTGTGTGAAACAATTGTATCTTTCACTCATGCATACCACATCCTAACTTTATGAAACACCGTGCAGGAAAGTTATAGAAAAATTAATCCCCTTTAACTCTGGATTGTACTCTAAATTGAGGTTGCATTAAATTGACACGTTGGCTTGAATAGTTTCCAACTCTACAGAAAACATCAACAGTCCTACTGGATAAAATCTTCATAAAAACTACAGCCACTATTTAATTTCAACTGTTAGTGCATAAAACAGAACAGAGGCACCACAAATACTCTGTCGAGGCACTTATTGCCTTTAGATTTCCACAGTGTAGCACAGACCACTGGGAATGACCTCCATAGCCAGGAACTACACTCCAGTTCGGCACTTAGGAAAAATAGGCCCATTCACCTCTGCAAGTCTTCTCTTCCTCACTGAAAAATAAAAGAAAGAGGAGTTAGTCTTGGCAATGGGATAATTTGGATGGCAGGCTTGCCTTAACAGCTGTAGAAAGGAGCTGAGAGATGTACTTTCTGCCAGGAAAGAAACAGGATAGCAGCAGCTTCTGAATTCCTGCCTTAAGCAGCAGGTACAGCCTTACACAGTAAAATCAAGGAAGATGAGGTTTTTCTCACTATGCATTATTAAGGTCAGAAGCTACTTTCAGCCTTACCTCCCTTATTCTGTAGTTAATTATATTTCACAGTTTGTCTTTGTAATTGGACTTTGGCCAGTGCATCATCTGACTGATGGAGAGACAGCAGGAAACAGATGTCACAGTTTTTCCTTTGCTAGTTTTTCAAATTAAAAATTTTCTTCTTCAAATAAAAAAAAAAAAACCCAAACAAAAAAACCTCTTCTTATCCTAAGCCACTGGGCTGCAGTCCTCTGATCATGGTTAACATAGCCAAAACAGTCTCATACCTAGTCTTAAATGTTGTTTTACACCTTTTGACACCTACACTCATGACTTTCCAAGAAAGGTATGAGGAAAAAAAGCCAGAACAAAAATATATAAAGAGGATACAGAAGTTAGCTCATGAGGATGAACATAAAAGCCTTCACAGTTGGTTCACACAGAGCATCTTAGGGAACAGAAGCTATGAGACCAAAACCATGTTTTGGTAGCATCAGTTGACAGGCAAGAACACTGGAGTGGAGCAGAAGCAGAGAGCTATTTCTGACAGGGAGGAAAATTAAGTTTAAGTTTTTCTTTACTTATACATTGTCCAGGTGTAGAGCTGAGATGCTATTGCCAGAGACCATCAGACCGATGAATACGAGCTGCAAACAAGGACCAAATCAGACAAGAAATGCAGATATTAGTGGTCAAGGAGGAAAAATACACAACTCTTACATGGGAGGCAAGTTGTGAATTCATCCTCTCAACAGCAGGAACAATCAAATTACTAGATTTTAAATCTTTGAGCTCACTACTTTGAACTCCAGGTGCTGCAGAGTCATGAAAAATCATGCTCTGTTCCAAAGTGCAGAAAATAGCAAGCCTTTCTCAGTGCAGTGCTCGAGTGACCAGGTATGGAGTATTTTGTATGATCCTTGAAGAACTGGGACATACCCCTGTGCTTGGCTGTGCTTCCTAGGAGCACATACCAGCTGAAGCAAGATAGTTTTGGGTTTTTTTTCATTTGTTTTTAAAAACAACAAATGTATCATCTGCCAAGATATGACAGCTGCTGAGTACAGTGTGGTGGGTGTGTTAGCTGCATCCAGCAGTGCTCTGCTGGCCTGGTTTCCAGTGCTCTACAGCAGCTTGTAGCCAAGCAATGAAAAGGCTCTGCTACATGCTTTGGCTGAAATGGCAGTTTGCAGACTTGCCCACATTTTGCTTCACAGGCCTTCTGATCACTTCAATGAGAGTATACAGATAACTCAAAGCCATGTGGCTTTCCACATATTCCTAGAAACAGTTCCAGTTTGTTTTGCTGAAGAGGATGGGCCAAATCTTAACTGCTGTCAAAGTTCAACTCTACTACTTTTCATCTCCTTGTTAAAGTGGAAATGAAGCTGGAGGAAGACAAGCAGTTGGCAGGAATCACAAATGCTAGCAGCTCATAGCCTGTGTGCCACATGCTGTATCACAAGCTCTACTGAACAGCATCAGCGGCTCTTGCTCTTTCCCAACAATACCCACTGTTTCTGCAAAAAACACTGCCTGGCTGACAGCAGCTGCAGTAAGGAACCAGCTGGTGAAGGCTGCCTTCCTCCTTGAGCAGCAAAGCATCATCAGGCCCTTCAAGAGGCACATTCTAATTCATACACATCCTTGAGCAGTTCTGCCCTAATCCCACCAGGAATTGCCCACAGGACCTTCCCATGCTTCCCAGCTTGTGGCCAGCCTGACTCACCCAGGTCGTTGTTACTCATCATGGCATTGGAGGCGCGAAGCCGGGGACCTTGCTGGGTGAAATGGTACCCAAACTTCAGTAAGGAGGTGTTCTTTTCCAATATATTTGCGATTTCCATTTCTACTTTGTTGCCCAAGGGCTGACTCTTTTGAAAACATAAAACAGAAAAGCAAGCTGTTCAGCCTAGAGGGTGACTCAGAGCAAGCACTCAGAGGGAAGGGGTGCAGATTGCAGACCTTTCTCTGGACTTGTGTCCCTTTCTGACTTGGAGCTGGTAAAACAAACCCCTGGCCTGTTCCTGTGCACATGCTAAAGCTGAGAGGCTCCAGCTCCTCCAGATATTCCCAAAGTCCTTTTGACCAAAGACTTTATTTCTTGGTCAGATTAGCAGCTAAAGGACATCTGGAGAAATCAGGATTTTGGTCTCTCAGTCAGCTGTCTCCAAGTTCCCCATAGCTCAGCTGCTTCAGGCTCTGGGTTTCTTGGGGAGCTACACTTGCCCCTGGCTTTGTATCATGGCACACTTAGTGGCCTATATGCAGGCCACGTTCACCTGACCAGAGCTGTCCCCCACACACACTTTACCTGGTTGTCAATGCGCAGCTCCACGAGTGATGTGTTGTCCTCGAGTGCTTCGACAATAGCCAGGATCCCAGACCCAGAAATGAAGTTTGACTCCACGTTCAGGCTCTTCAGTGTGCTATTGACCTTCAACATTTCTGCCAGGGCCTGTGGACAGAGGTGAGCGGGAAGAGCTGGCAGTCAGGCAGGCAGGGGCAGAGAACCAAAGGGCAGCAGGGCTTCAGCTCCCCTCAACTCCAGAGTACTCTTGGAGGATCCCACATGCTGCACAGTTTCACTGCACAGACGGAAGCGCTCTCTGTGGAGTAAAGGGGCTTCCCTGCTGCTGCATGGGGTTTCTTGAGCATGCTGGAGGCTGCAGCAAAATCTTGCATGGACAAATACTTGGGGCTACCCCAAAAGGTGATAGTCCACACCTGCAGCTGCCCTGTGACAGCTTCATCTGTCCCTCTTCTAAAGCCAGCATGGTATGACAAGGATGCTGGCCGGCATTAGCCCTGTCTCCATTCTGATGAGTCCCTGCCTGCACTGCACAGGGTTGAGATGCTTCCCATTAAAACACTCCCAGGCAGGAGCATCTGTCTTGAACAACAAGGGATGCTCCACATCCAAGGTGTCCTCCCAAGCAGCATCACAACCATATTAATAATTTTTGCTTCTCTTAGTGGGTAAGATCAGAAGTGGCTGGAATGCTTGTTATGTCCCAGATCTGATCAGATCATGTCACCTCAAAAAAACTGCAAGGGTGGATCCATCTACATCATGAAACAAAAGAACCAGAAGATGATGCCCACACGGCAGGGCTGACCAGCACCCGCGGCATTTAGCCCCACAGCTCCCCTAACCCAGCACAGCACCCCTCAAGCTCTGACAAAGCACCTGTCCTGCCTGCACAAGCTTTCTCCCCAGTCCAGAGTGCCTGAAGTAATTTAAGAGCAGTAGTTGTCCTCCAGAAAGTTTCTTTTTCTAGCAGGAAACGTGTGCACATGTGTGTATGTGTGTGTGTATGGAGGTAGGCAGGGGTAACCTGGGTGACTAAGAGCAAAAGCTGACAAAAATGGTGCTGGAGAAGGATGCAAAGATGCAGCCTGGAAGGCAGCACCAAGGCCAGGCAGAACAACTGGCTTCCTCTCTGCATCCCCACTGATATTTAAGATCACTCACAGCAGCCAGAAAGACCCATTATCACCTACAGAGGCCACACCTTAGGAGATGCAGAGTCTTACTTCTGCAGGTCTGCACAAAGAATATGAGAGACAGCTCGTGCAGACGTGTGTGAGGGGAGCAGCAGGTGTGCACAACTTTGTACCAACAGAAATTAATCTCCAGAGAGAGAGAGAGACAAACTGCTTTTAGAAGATGCTGCTAGGACATCAGTTGTTGTCTCACGTTCCTTTTCCAGGAGGTCCTAGAGGACAAATTGAGTCTGCATGAGTTAAAGGACTGCACCCTGAAACCTTCACAGATAAAAAATGAAGTGAAGGAACCAAAGCCTGTCTGTTGCTGGCTTCCACTTGTGCCCCTGAAACTGAAGCACCTGCAGCAAACAGCCAGAGGTGTGGAATGGTGGAATGTGCAAAACACAACACAAGGTGCAGAAGCAGTCAGTCAATAATGCTGACAATACCTTTCCCGAGGACAGCTCCTGTCACAACACTGGGACGATGAACTCACAGTACTTACAAAAGCAACAGGATCGTTGCTGCGGGTTCCAACTATGCTGAACTTCTTCACGTATGCGTTGTTTTTCAGCGCTTCCGCAAAAGCTTTTAGGGTTGGTATAGGAATATTCTGTGACAAGAAATGCAGAAAGCATGTGTTAGGCCATCATCTGTGTGCAATGAATATGCAATACATGTAAAAGATACTTCTAACTTCTCATCAAGGTCAAATGCACTGAAGTAATTTGGGAAGGAGTTGAAAAATGTTTTTACAAGTTCTCTTGCTATAACCAGCATATTTTGAGGAGCATGGCCGTATCTTCATCCTATTTTGTACTCTGCTGAAAGAAAGCTCACTGCCTTGATTTGAAGCCACATCTCTGCTCTTTAGTTGCCCAGAAACTCAGCTATCTAGGAATACGGGCATTGTAGGGATGTTTGTAACCAGGATCTGTGAGCCTACAAAGCACTGCTCCTGCGCTCTCTGATACGAATGGCAGCACTGAGAAATATTCATGTCACATGCCGAAAATTTCCACCTACAGAAACTGATCCAGAAAGGACTGAGATGATCTCCTTGTATCACAAATCACAAACACCCCTGACTGCTTTTAGCATCTTACAGGCTAACGTTTGCCATGCTATGTCTCAACCTAGGAAAAAAACCCCACACCGCTTTTTCTGAGTTCCTTCAAAATCAGCATTTTTCACTTATGAAGAACTTTAGATACTCTTTTCAGAGAATGGAAATTTTCACTTAAAATTGTAAGTGGCATCCTCACTTTGGACTTCTTGCCACACCATTTGGGTCTCACCATGTGCAATCACCTATACTCAAAGTCATCCACAGAACCATAACATGGCACCCAGCAGCTTAGAATCTCCACTGTCATTTCCCAGTTCTCCAAGCCCCATCCCAAAGTCATGAGTTCAACACACAAAAATAGTGTCTGCTTGCCAGATCCTCAGTCTTGTGTCTTCAAGGGATGGGGTCACTAGCCTGAATCAAATACACTGGAGTAAAAATATTTCTGCTTTAGAAAGGTGTGGGTAGCATTGCAAAAATGTCTTTGATGTGCACATGCAGTCAATCATGTTCTTGCTGTTTAGCAATAGACCACATGAAACAGAAACTGTGTTTTTTAGTGTATGCATATGTCCCAAAGGCAACATAAGAAGTGGTGCTATGTCCTGACTTACTTTCTACAAGAAGCAAGAGTCCACAGGTGGGATTGGGATGGGTGGGAGATAGAGACACCTGCAAGAAGAGTGGCTTCTTCCTATTTTCATGGCAAGTGTCTGGATTATGAAACCTTTTTCCTCCCACCATCTTATAATACACATCAACATTCCCTCCACCGAATATGCCTGTCTAAATCATTAGAGCAATCTAAAATGGCTTTAACCAGACAGTTTTGGATCTCCCCAAACTACCCTCAACATAGCTCCATTTTTCTAGGCACTTAGAGGAATCTTCCTGCTACCAACCCCAGGCCTTTGTTCCACACCAGGTAGCAATCCAATCTGCCCACAATGCTGCCCACAGTGGAGATGGGAAGCACTGGTGTTTCTTGTCTGGCTACGTTCGGTGTTATGATACAGCTCTGTGCAGCAAAACAGACTGTGTCTGCCTTCTGTGCATCGGATACTTAGTCTTGTTAATAAGACAGGAAGGTAGAAAGGAGCAAATACCATAATATTGTTAAGGTTGACTTCCTCAAGGTCAGGATCATTGCTCTGTATTCGTTTCAGAGTTTCCTCCACATCTGTTGAGTTTGGCTCCTCATCAGGAACTGGTTTGTACTGTGTGGGCTTAATCACGCCTGCAGGTGAAAAGCAAGATGTGAAAATGAAAGCATTCTGAGTAGCACTATCTTTTGAGTGTGTTCCTGCTCTTCCAGAAGTGGAGAGATGGAGGCATGGGAGATGGAAGTATGACAGATGGAAGTATAACCTGACAAACAGCCACAATGAGAAACCACTCCACTGGGGCCACCCAGCACAGTCCAAATCTGGGTGACAGAAGGCACACTGCCTGCACAGGGCTCTCCCTTGGGCTGCACTGGCTTCCAGATGGTACCAGGGAAGTGGCTGAGACTACACTGGCTGGCACGGGGCAAGGATGCACCAGAGCTGGCCCCAGCATTATCACAGGCTACTCTGACATGCACAGCTCTAACCTTCAGCCTAAAAATAATTATCACTTCGCCTCTGCTAGCAGCTTCAAAGCCATGCACTGCAGCCTGCTAACATAAATCACTTACTGTTGAGTCCTTCTTTGTTCACGATGGTGCTGCTCCCCAGTGCCTCATAGTACTGCTGGTTACTCATCAAGGTGTGCATGCCAAGGATGGCTACAGAAACAGGAGAACATGACTTATTGGAGGCTCCAGAACCAGGAAAAGACACAGCACACTACCTTTCCCTGTACAAGCACAGAAAAACATACAAAGGGAGGACAAAGCCCCCCAGCTGACGTAAATATACAACAGTGCTCCAATGTGCTCCAGCCACAAGGCAGCAAGACTGTCACCTGAAGCAAAACAATGCACATTGTGTTTTCACTCTTGGAAGCTAAAGCTCTGCTGGCTTGGTCAAAACGTAGAGAATGTTGGTCTCAGACTCAAGACTGCAAAGCCAATATGCAAATGCAAGTTGAGCCATGTCTGGGGACTCTGGTGAAATTCCTGGCAGCTGCAAATGACCAATAAGAAATCAGTAGCTTAGGAACTTTTGGGTGAAGGGTTCGTTTCTAAAAGTAACCCTGCTATACGCAGAAAGATCAAGTTTGAAAATTTATTTTTGAATAAACAACTTTATTTTTTAATAGCTATACAACTTTCTAAAGAAAAATGCAGACACATGAATACTTGTTAAAACAGACACATCTGAACAAGTCTTGATCTCTGGATAGATACAGATGCGAAAATAATAAATTTCTCCCTAAAATCCAAGCCTGTCACCACAAAGGCACTTCTTAGATTTGGTTGGCACCAGTCTGTCACCATGTTCTGTCACTTTGGCCAAGAAGAGCTGGAATCTGCAGGAGAAAGGTATCCTTGAAGCCCAGCACAAGAATAGGATCTGTTATAGTGACTCTATGGGTTGCATAGGCTGGACAGCCAGCAGCAAAGCATGTCAGTGAACTTCCCTATGGCCACTAACACATTCCCAGCTGAATCTCACAGAGCCAAGCAGTCTCCATCTGAAAATCTGAGTGAGGTTGAGCACTTCAAGTTTGCTTGTTTGTATTTTATCTGGCCCTTTTCTTTGTCATTTTCTCACAGATGGCATTTTCAGGGGTGCAACACAGGTTGGAAAAGTAATTTTAAGGCTCAGCATTTTGGCAACACAGATAGTCCCCAGATCACAGCTTATTTGGACAATGAAACCTCTCCAGCAGCCAGAGTGTGAATATCTAGACTGCAGAGAGAAGCAAGGATCTGCTGTCATGACCATGCATTTTGGGGGCTCAGGTTTGTGTTGGGAGACAAGAGGGACCCACTCTCTCTAAGTCTGGTGCTTATGGTGTATTCTCCAAAGGAACTCAAGGCAGAATGAAGGCACTCCACTTCTGTCTCCCTCAGCTGATCAAAGGCATGGGAGCCCTTCCAGGGCTACTGGGAGCCACCCTCCTGGCCTTGCCAAGGAATGGATGCAACACACCACAGCTCTCAATGATCCCTGCTAAACAGGGAGGAGCAAAATGAGCTCCTGCTAAATGAATCCTGCTAAGCAGGCAGGAGCAAGGCTGTCACTGTCAATATTGAGATTTCAGCACAGTTTGTATCACATCAGTATTCCTGCTCCCACTTAAGTGTATTCTCCCAGCAACTATAGAAGAAGCTGCTGTGAACAGCATTTCCATGGGACAATGATTGCTGCACAGCTTAGAAAGGCAGATTTTATAGGACAGGTCTTTATGGGACTTGAGGATCAACAGTAAAAAAGCAAATTCCAGAGATGCAATGCTTGGCCAGGGTACATGTGTTTGGGAGCATTAATGCAGAAACACATTTCTAAGCCAAAAGATGGTATTATTATGTAGATGATGTCTAGTTGGTGTAGTTATTCTACAGAATTTCTTACACGCTTTCAGCAAGAAGGATACTGCTAGGGAGTGTGGAAACCTGAAGAAGACAAAAGTGGAAGAAGAAGCCAGTATCACTGAAATATTCACTGACTGCTGGACCAGCAGAGCACATGTGAGCTTTGTGAAGTATCATGGGCTGTCCATGTGCTCCTTTGGCCAAGGCATGTCCTATCCCAAGCACAGAGCAAAGGCCACTCGATAGGTTCAGCAACATACCAATATTGTCATCTGTCTGACCACACAAATCACAAGAAATTCACCACTTAAAATGTGTTCAAAAAGCTCCTTAACAACCACCAGGCCTGAGTGTCCACTGAAAGACTTCTATAACCTGACAGATCCTTTAACAGGTTGCACAAGAAACCCACATTCTCACTGTGTCTGCTTGACTGTTTCCTAAGATTTGGTTTGAAGAAAGCTGTTCTCTTGAATGTACAGGCTGGAGCTAGCAACAGTCAGTGGTAGAGACAAAGGAAGAGATCAAACCACACACTGTTCCATAGATAAACCTTTCCTCTCGCTCCTCAGCTTTGGTCCAACTGCTCATTAAATCACATAGGCTGAGAGTAACTTTTTTTAACAAATAAATAAATTCTGTCAGAACTGGAAGCATTTAGATAAACAGTAAAAAAGTGCAATAGCTCATTTCACACAAGAGAACAAAATGACCCCTAGAAGTTGCACAGCTTGCACCCCTTATTACTGTGAAATTATTTTACCAGCAATGTCACAGAGCTCTGCATCAGAGGCATTAGCAAGGGCTTCCTCCAGCTCCGGCTCCAGAGTCACACTTTCCAAAACGGGATCCATTGGCTTCTGCTTGGGAATCCAAGCTTTTCCTGAAAATGCAAAGGGAGTATACTCTCAGTATAGCGACAACACCCAGTTCACAGCTACCCTTGCAGATGCATTTCTATGCTGTGAGAATTGAAAAGTAGAAAAGACAGAGGGGCCACAAGAGAAAAATCAAAAGAGAAACTGAATCCCTTTCCATCAGCTTGGTCTGAGTCCTGCTGTGAACAGAGAGGCACCTGCAGAGCTCAGCCCTTCCATCAGCACATTGGTACAGGATCGTGACTGTTCACAGCACAGCTCTCAGAAAGCCATGCACAGCCTGACCCTGCAGGTCCTCACTTCTCTGAAGGCTGCACAAAAGGGGGGAAGGTTTGCCAGCGCTCAAGAGAGGCCAATAGCCTGTACCCAGCACTGTGCAGGATCAGTCCTGCTGCTGAGAGACCTCTTGCTGCTAACTCCAAGTGCATATTGGCAAGGCAGATGGCACGTTAGTCAAAAGAGGCTGGAGGGGAGGTGGTGGAGGGCTCTGGCAGAAGGCAGAGACAGCACTTCATTGAAAGCATGGGATGCAAGGAAGAGCAGGCTTAGGGCAACTGGTCTAGCTCAACCCTGTTGCAAAGAGCATGCCAGATGGATACCCCTATGCTTTTTCTCTCTGGACAGCAAAAGGTCAAAAAGAAGACCTATTCCCTACAATTCAAAGGTGCAATTCCACAGGTCCAGCTGGTAATGCAAACTTGTCATCTTAGCTGCTTGCTCATGGCCTTTTCCTAGGGGGGGGGGGCCCACACAGCCAGGAGGCTGGAGCTTGGAATGCAGTGGGCTGGCTCCCTGCCAATCCCCCATCCCATTGCCCGTGGCCATCACTGGGCAAGCCACAACCCTTTCTCTGCCAGAGCTGGATGCATCCCAGGAGGTGTGGGGCAGTGGACAGTGTTGATGGCCCTGCACAGCTGCTCCCAGCTCCTCACCACTCATGCTGCAATGGGCAGCAGATTCTTCTCAGAGGCAGAATGGGTCAGGTCTGGGATTTCACATCAGGCATCCACCTGTGACTGCCCAAAAGAAAAGAGAGAAGCTTGTGATGTTTTAACTGTCCACAGCAGGGAGCAGTCTGCTGGGTATATCCAGCATTGCTGGCTCAGGGGTAGAAGGGCTCTGGGAACATTTTGGAGCAGTCCCCTCCCCTAAAATAGTCCTGGAGCACTGCAGAGATAATGACTGCAAAAGGCCTGGCATAGCATGCCAGCCAGGACTATTTTTGTCACCTCTCTGAAACCAGAGTCAGTGGCACCAAAAGGGAGAAACAATCCTTCTGCTCAGGGATATGCAGAAAGGGGCTAAATTTAGCCTCAAGGAAGAAGCAACTGCACCTCAGGGTCCCCTGGGACAAAACGGAGGCTGCCGTAAACAGCCTTTTGCTCCCATCTTCTTCCTGTGCACTACCACTCTGACAGAGAGAGAAGGAATCTGCCTCCTGGGACACAGCTGCTCTCACAAAAATAGGCAGTGTCATGTGCCTGCACAGCCAAGCATCTTCTGGGTATTCAGCAGCAAAATGTCTGCCCAAAATGTCTGCTTGGTGTAGAGATCTGGAACTCCTGTCCCACCAGATGTGTGGCTGGGCAAACTGTACCGTGTGTGCAACGCCAGCAGGAAACAAGAGAAAGAGGGCAAACTTAATTCTGCTGCCATGCAGTAAATCCTTCTGACACCCCAGCAACATCAAAATTTCTGGGGTTTCTTCTAGTTTAATTTTAATTACCTAATTTCAGTCAATTTCTAAGTTTTAGAAAGTTTTGTATCTCAGTCATGCCTTATTACAAGATAGAACTTTAAATTAAACAGTGCATGCATGATGATGACAATGCATGATATTTTAGGTCATAACACAGTATGTCTGCACACCCCAACACCCTTCCTAGCAGCATGGCTAGGGAGAACACTGCCCATAACCAACTAGTAAATCACCCTCCAAACTGCAAACGTGGTGATTTATTTACAGCTTCATCACAGCTGTGAATATGTAATTTACCATCTCTGGCTCACAGTCAATGTAAGTAGTGTCTTCTCTCAACAGCATATTACAAATTAAAATATGTTTAATACATTTGAGATCACAACAGACTGAAATATGATGCTGCATACTCAAAATGCCTGAAATACCTCTGTCTCCTGCAGAACACTGCTTCTACCTTCTGGGCTAGCCAGGTGGGTAAGCAACACTGGACTGGAGCACATCTGAAAGGTATCAAACCAGTTTTCCTGATAGAACTCAATTTACTAATTTATTTCTCTCAAGGACTACTTTTTTTTTTTAATCTAAAAATACTGCCTTATAGGTTTTATTAAATGAACAGATTTTGCACAAGTTCTCTATAAGACAGCTATGTGGGTCAGTAAAGAGGCACCTTTCAGAAAGATCTGTTAGGAAACATGCTCATACGTCCACATTTTCATGCAGTTCTTTTTCATATTGGGCAACCATTAGCATGAACAGTGCACAACCAGATCTTCTGCTGCAGGGGGATCACAGTACAGAGGGAGACACAACAGCTGAAAAGCTGCTGAGAAGCTCCTGGAATGAAGGGGCAGGGACTGACCAGACTATGTCCCATGTCAGATGATATTCAGAGTTCTAACGGGAACAGGAAAGTCGCTTGGATAATGTATCATATACAAGGAGAATAGCAAAAGATGCCAGAATAAGAGAAAAAAAAAGAGGCAGAAGAAAACCCCTGCTCACAAGCCTCAGGGCCTTGCAGAACAGGAGTGCAGCAGCTGCTGTAGGGTATGGTGCAGGAAGACACAAACAAGCAATCTGCAGGAGACTGGGAAATAAGCCTGGAGTTGTCAAGAGATGATGAAAACTAGATGGGAATGCTGGGCATCACCACAACTGTGAAGAGCTGTGGAGTTTCTCTATGGTGAGTAACTCATAGTGTCAGGATGGAGTGTGAAAGGCAATGGTGAAACATGTTGCTTAACATGAGGAGCTAACAGGAGAACAGGGCAAGGAGGGACAAGAGAGGACAGAAGATGATTTCTTTCCAGACCGTGATACAGATACAGTGGCATGGGGATGGCAGAAGGCTGCACAGTGGTACAGCTTCTGTAAAGCATTTAACAACATATCAGGTGGTGCCCAAATCGGCAAGCATAGGGACCTCTTGTCTAGCTGGGGCTAGACAGCAGACAGAGTAGATACACAACCCCAGTAGTGTCAAAAAAGAAGTGTTGTTTTATCAACACAGGTCAGACACAACCCTTCTGCTGCTGTGCACCCACTGTGCCTTCACTGTGATGCACCCAGCATGATACAAAGGATGACCATACCTCTCTTTTCCCCCGTGAAAGGAACCAGGTCTTCTCTGTCTTTAATGTCCTTTGCCTGCTGTTCTAGGTGGGCCATGAGCTCTTCCCTTTTGAATGGGCCAGTTGGTGGCTTTTGCGTCTGATCCCGCTGCCTGAGCCCTGCTGGCAACAGTGCATTCTAGACATGGAGGTGAGAAACACAGGTTATTTCTGCATGCCACAATCCCTATCTGTCAAACACTCTCCCCTCTGCACTTCCCTCATTACACCACTCTTCTCCCAGATTGCTGGACAATTTGCTTCTCCTTCTGTCAAAGGTTAGCTTCATCCAGACCCACTGATTCCCACATCATCCAGGACATGTGATGCTCCTCTTCCCCCTTCAGTTTTAAATGCTGCCTAGTACATGTTTCTCTGCAACATCATCTCCAGCCCTTTCTTTCTGGAGGCTCTCAGCCAACTTCTCCCCACTATATGAGTCTGTCCAAGTGCCCACAATGCCCCATGAAAAGAATCAATTCAGTTAAATCTCATGATCTTTCACAGAGCAGATCAGAGAGTTGTGGTGGTCTCTTCTGCCTTTCATGATCCATCACAAAACTACAGAGAGGGTCTCACAGAGAAGACCACTTGGTTGCAAAGCAAAACCCCTGTGAACTTCAGCCTTTTTTCAAGCTGCCTCCTTGTTATTCAGTCACGTAAGCCACCACGGGAAGTTGGTTCGTGCTTGACACATATGGCACGTAAACACCTGCTTATATTTAAATATAGAACAGCCTTAATGCAGTAAGTAAGACTATTCCGAGATTTGACACTAAGCATGTTCTTTAAAGCTTTACTGGATAGAAGTCAACGTTTACTTTTTAAGACATCCAAGGTGATGCTGAACAACATACTGATTTTTCTATGCCTTCCTGATAAAAGTAGTTCATTATAATTTATATCTGTATCAGTGAAAAGCCTGGGAAGGAAAATTACTAATAGGAAGCAGTTAGACCTGGGCAACTTCGAAGGGCAACAGAGAAGTGTGTGAATTGCACAAGCAGGGAGGCATAGGAGACAGCTTGCTTCCACAGGCTTCATGCCGTGAGAGGCAACTATGCAATCTTCAAGCTGACTACACCTGAACTGACAGATGTCAATAGTTATTTTACCTTTCTTCATCTTTCACAGAATACTGCCTGACTCTGTGCCTTCTGAGGTAGCTGTAGCCAGCCCATCAGCCCATACACTTAATCCCAGGAGCTAGCTTGCCAGCTCTCAAATATTTTCCTGCATTGCAATTAAAAATACTGATGATGCAATCTACACCACCCATAATTTACTTCAGAAACACTAACTGCATGTTGCAGGAAAAATTTGTCACCTGGCAGTGCCCAAGCTCCTCGAGTAACTCTGCCATAGGCCAGAGGTCTGCCAGTTGGCTCTGCACATCCCCTGCAACAGGACAGTGCTGGCTCCAAAACCTTCCACCAGCTTGGCACCAGCAGACCCCATGTTTGCGTATGTGCAGCTCCTGCTGATGCTAGGAGGTTACTAAAAATAAACTGTCCCACTTTGCAAAACTCTGGGATTTGGATTTCTGCCTAAGTTGGGGAAAATGCAGGCCATTTGAAGTTCGTTATAAAAAGCCCAAAGCCGAAATACCAAAAACCACAGAAAACCCTCAAACCAAGCAACCCACAAAACATTCCCTCCAAGGTGGTATGATCAGAAACAGAGATCCACTTTCCACAGGATTACTGCCCTGCACCAGCACTGGCTCATATTGCTGCTGCAAGTCACAGCTGCTCATCACATCAGGAAAAGAGCAAGAAAACAGAAACAAAGACACACATGTAGACTGTGCTTCCAATGGCAAAAAAACTCTTCTGTGTATCTGCAGCCAGTGTCTTCCACTCTTGCACCAAGTACAGGCTCTGCAAAGGATCCCACTGAAATACAGATTACTAATGCAGTCCACTCCCCCACAATTACTAAGATTCACTGCCTAGCACCTCAATTAAAAATTACTTACGTCAGGATCCAGTTCTTCCAGTTCATTCTCTAACTTCCTGAGCTCCTCTTCCGTCAGAGCTCCAAGGATCTGATCTTCATCTAGGTCTCGATATTTTTCTAGCTCCTTTCTGTAAGACATCTTAGAGGAGTCTCGTGGATCTCACTTCTAAGCTGTAACAGAACCTGACATAAAAAAAAATGAAGCGTTAACACTGAACACATGAAGCATGATGCTACAGCCCACCTGGCTGGGGAAGACTGAGCACCCCAGAGCTGCATTTTATTTATGCTATAAGCATGGCTGATTTCAAAAGACTGCTCACATCCTACACACACATAATCACCCAGGGACGTGAGAGCGGCGCAGCTCCGGCAGCACATTGCCCCATCACGGATTTATAGGGCAAGACTGAGGAAGTTCTTTGTACAGGACTCTGCGTAGGGATGTCTTTCTGCAAGCAGTGCTAGATGTTAATGAAGCGTCCTAGGCATTTATTTCTTTGAAGGACAATAAACCAGAAGTCAGAGTATGCGGCTCTCATGTCCTTACAAGCCCCCAGTAACACGGCTCTGCACATGGCACTCCAGATAACATGTTACCAGATGGGAAAACAGATTTGTAGCACCACTGAGTACCTCTGAGCCCTGAAAACCTCCACAAGGCTCCAGTGCATGGCTCTTCTTCCCATGTTTTAAAGCCACAAGGAGATCAGGAAGTATTATCCACTCAGATTCAGGAGGCTGCCAGTTAAATGTGCTATTTAGTGACTCACCTTTCCTGAGACAACACATGTTTGCACTGCTGCCAGCTAAGCAGCTGACCTGTGTGCTACTGCACGTTCTAAACCAGTCCTTCGAGAAGCGAGGTGAATGGTCTATCTGGATAATCCCTCCTGACCCTGAGATTTGGTCCGTGTCTCCTAATATAATGCACCATACACAATCATATGCATGTAACTAGACCTGTGCAAGGAAAAAGACTGCAGAGACCAAGGTCAATGTGTTTAAAATATGCAGGTGGGTTAAACGTACACTCAGCACAGCACACAAAAGCATATCCAGCTCTGCTCTTTTGCTGACAATCTCCTTCTGCTCCACAGCACTGTCTGTAATTTTTTTTTTTTTTAATTTTTTGGCTCTGTTTATGCAGAGAATAATGAGCCATAGATAATTTAACGTGACTTTTCTTAAAGTTTTGCTACTCTTTTGAGTGACATTTACATTAAAAATAACAGCAAGGCCTGTGTATTTTTTAGGGAGCCAAACATCTTTTGAGTTTCTATAAATGGACTCTGTTCAGCTCCTGTGGAGCATCAGAGCCCTACCCTGAATCACATCTCTCCAGCTTTGCTAGACCCCTCAGGACAGATTATGCTCTTATGATCACTCTTCATTTGTGGAGAAGTTTCTTTATACAAGTTACAGCACAGCTGCTCTTCCAGATAGGAAAATTATCTTTAGCTTGGTCACAAAAGGGCACAGTAATGCACACAAGCTTGTTCAACATCAAGCCCTTAAATTTAGAAGCTGTCATCTTGTCAGACGTTTGGTTCCCCACTAGTGTGATGGCAATTCCTGCATCACTCACATTCCTGCCACTCGCCACTTAGGAGGTGAAGAGTGAGGAGATGGTGCCTCCTTGATGGTAGAAACAGCCCCTGAAGCTCCCTCAGCTGGGAACTGGGGGTGAAAATCAGCTTTTCATTGGGCTGGTTTGCTCCAAGCAGTGACCACCAGCCTGTAGGCACTGGAGCCGAGGGCAGCCAAAAGGGTGGAGAGGCAGCAGGAGCGATGGGGATCAGTGGGTCTGACTGAGTGAGGTGGAAGGAACCCCACACTCCTACGCTTCACCAGTGCCCTTCAGCCCTCAGAGCAGGGCTCTTCAAGGTGGCAGGCAGAGCCACTCACCAGCCAGCCTACAAGTAATGTCCAGCAGCGCAGCCCTGCAAGCCTGCCTTTCTTGCAGGCAGAGAGACAGGCAGAACCTTTACTGCAGTTACTCATGAGCACTGATGTGGGAGATCCTAGAAAACCAGCCTGGACTCGGATCTGGATATATGCTGTGCTACTGTGGCCTTAGATTGGGTGCAAGAGCCATGACTAGCCTGAATTTCATATGCCATGTGCAGTTTTGACAATTCTGCTGTGGAAGGATCTGGTGCTAGGAGCAAGCAGGAAGGCAGAGAATAACCCACCCCAGGCTGCTAAATTCGCTATAATGGCTTAAAATACCCACACCTGCCATACACATAGCAATATCTGTCTTGGCCACATGAAGACAACTATTCCCAGAGACAGCCACAGACCCCTCCCAGGAGCGCAGGCAAGACTGCAAGCAGGGGCCTGTTTGGGACCAGAGTGCAGCCCCCAGGGTGACCTTGTGCCTCCCTCCAGAAGGACAGAGATGTCAGCACCGAGAGGCGAAAGGCAGCACAGACATGGGATGTCAGTGCACACAGGCAATGCTCCTGGAAAACGCTTCAGGTTTCAAAGCATCTTGCAGAGATATGAAGCTGGGGCTGCATATAGCAAAGGCCCTGAGGGTTGAAGACAGGTGCAGAGTCTGCTGAAACGTAGCTGAAATCCCCGTGGGGAGAATTAAATTTGCTACATACCTCAAAGAGAGGTGTCGGGGGGCACAGTGCCTTCCCAGACCTGCTGGTGCAGCCGGACAGCGCTGGCACCTCGCACATCTCCCGCTGCGAGCACACTGAAAGGACTGCTGGTCAGGAGCACCAGCCTTGCCCGTGGCAGCAGGACATTCTGTACTGCTCCCCTGCCTGCAGAACCAGCCGTTCAGCATCGTGTCCTCCAGCACAGCCTCCAGGACCAGTATGTTCACTGCTCCCTTATCTCCACATCCCAGGCCTCTTCTGTCTTATCTTGCTAATGAGTGCTGGGAGAAAAGGCAAACCAGCCCATCTGCTGTAAATGGCAAGGGGGCTTTGAACTGCCAAAGATAAGAAAGCAGGTAAATTCTGCCTAAGTGTAATTATTTTTGTTGCAAGTACTAAAACACCCACCACCATCACCAGCAGTTCTCCCTGACTTGTGCTGCAGTACAAGCATGGTTTAACGCAGGCGTCACCTTCACCTGAACTCAAACTAAACAAGATCCTTCAGCGCAACTTGAGTTCTCACTCTTTTTCATTAACCCTATTACTCTTCATTCAATCAACTAAGGAAGCATCACAAAAGAAGTGCAATATACAGATACTGCACAAAACTGACACTGTTGCAACTTTAAGTCCTCAAAATACTGAGATTCATATAGATTACAAAGAGAGCAAGACGTTAGGTCTCTTTGTTCAAAGTACTTGTCAGATACGTGGGAAGACAGCCCAAGCACTTGCACTTGGTAAGTCTGAAGAGCACACAGGTTGGAATGCACAACAATAATTAAAACTGTTAAAGGAGAAAAATTTAATTGGATGGGAGATAATAAAAAAGAGAAGGCTGTTCTCACTGTGAATATGGGAAAATAACATTTCTGATCATGAGGGGGATAGAACAGTTTCTTTCTGAAGGATTAAAAAATGCTGAGCAAACAAATGAAAACAAGTGAAAATGAAAAGCATCTTGTACAATACTGGAAATAACTCTTTCACAGAGCTTTGCACTGGTACAGCCCCCTGCAGCATCATGACCTTTTTGGGGTACCACAGAAACTTGAGAGCAGCACTGACGTCTGCACAGGGAAACGGTGGAAACCCATCTGGGAAAGTGGCCCACGTGGCCCACTTTGTGTCACCCCCAGCCAAGGGCAGGCATCAGTACTTGGTTGTGCTCCTCAGGTGGGCAAGCAGGGAGGGCAGAAATGGGCTTAGCAGCAGGCTGCTCGGGGAGGCCGTGGAGCAGCACCCATGCTGCCGAGTCAAAGGGTCTGCTGGATTATCCCCCCATGACCCGACAGCCCCAGGAAAAAGAACAAACGAGGAAGAACTGGCTAAAGTGACAGGAACAGCAGCAATACAAATTTCAAGAAAATACAAAAACGTCACCGTGAAAGCCAGGGGTGCTGTGTCAGGAAAGCTGGGCAACACATCATCTGGTGCACACTGGGCCAGGCAGCCCAGAGCCTGCCCGCACAACCTCCCTCGAGCACCAGCATGCCAACACCAGGACACCACAGAAAGCACTTCCTTTCATGCAAAATGCAGGGAGAAAGACCAACTAACCTCAGCAAAGGTGCAGGACTTTCTAGGGATAAATTCTCTTATCAGTCCCAGCCAACTCTGACTCTGGGAGTCTGTGCAGGCTGCAGCATGCAGCCACCATGCCCAAGGCTCAGCATGTGGGAGGGTTTGGGGCATCCCTGGTCACCACCACACCAACCAACCACCAAAGGCAGAGGACAGGAATTCTATGTACTCAGCAACATAATGAGAACCAGGCCTGAAAAAACCATACTTGCCCCAGACAACCACTGAATTTACCATAACATCTTTCCTGTGCTCTGAAATGTGAAAGCAGACCATGGGGCTTGGGTTTTGGGATAAGGAGGTAGCCAAGCATGGCCAGCATAACTATTGATGATTCTTGAAAAAACTGCCTAGTTTAAAGGCAGAAGTCTTTTCAGGATGAAAGTGTATTTAAGGAGCAGTGAAGGCAGAAATTCATATAATGAGGGATGGCTTGAAAACTGTTCCTGTTTGACTCACACAGGGTTTTGATTTATGACATTTTTTTTACAGCTTAAGTATAAGCCTGAGTCAAAATTCAGAACTATTATTTTTGCGGTATAAAAATAACAGACCAATATCAAATGTCTCCTCTATAGTTGCTACAATCAGCTTTTTTTCCCTTTTGTTTGACTTGCAGCATAACTTAAAAGATAAACGCCAGGGTCTGGGGTTTTTTTGATGGAGGAGCTATACATACCTCAAGTGACCATTTCCTAAAAATTCAAGAGAAGTTAGATACTTTCTGTGCATATGCTTAAATCTCAGTGAGTAACCTAGGTGCAGATCTAAGATGCATGCTGTGCTGATGAGAGGAACAAATCACCTCCAGCTTGTTTCTAAGTGAAAACTTAGAAACTTCTTATGTGGTCAGTCCTCTGACAAACGTGAAAGCTACACATGTGTGCAAAGGGTCTGTCAGCCTAGGGATCTCCTTTGTCTGACAGTCAGGAAATGAAGGAGAGCAGGGGCACTTGCACAGTGATCTAAGGCAAGGCAGGGGGTACCAGAAGCCTTTGGAGGAGGTGTAGCTGTAACACACATAGTGCTGGAGCAGGCATGGTGGGGATGTAGAGATGAAGGAGATAAATCCACCAAAAAGTGAGTCTCTGCTGATTCTCCCCTCCTGGGACATCTTTCAAACCCTGAACTTGCATCCCAACATAATTGGGTGCTGGTGACTCCATGGTCAACCCTTCTTTTTGAGTCACTGGGCAACCAAACATAACCAGTTCCCTGCAGTTTCAAGAACTGACCAACAAATCATGGCCAGATCCAGTAGCATCAAAGAAAAAGATGCACATCAGCTCCTACTGAGACCACATATAAAAATGTGAAACTACATGAATTGTGCAATACCCAGGAGGAAATCAGAGCAGAGCAGGGGTTGGATCCATGCCCAGTGTCATCACACAGCCATACACAACAGAAGTGTTCACTGCTGGATGCTTGCAATCACGATTTGCCCTGCTCACAAGGGAAGTCAGTGCAGGTGTGCTGGTACAGGTCTCCTCCCAGCACACTCACACCTCGGCCCCACAGTCCCTTCTTTCACAGACACAACCCTGGCCCAGTAGCACCTTTGCAAGTGACTACATGCCCTGCACCTGAGGTACAGACATTCAAAAGTTTACAACACTTCAATTGAACATTGTTCTCCTAAAAATGAAAGGAATATAAATGCTTAAGTCCAGTCCTTTAAGGTAATGGTCTGCACATTTCTGTAGGTCCCTTTTCAAGCAGATCTCATTTTACCAGTCAGAGAGGAAAGAATCATTTTAACAAGACATAAACACACACCCAGGATGCAGCATCAAGCACTGTTGGCCTGCCTGGACTCTGCACCACCACCTTGAATGTACAAGATATTGAAAACTCTTGTTAAAGCTACAAAAGACTGTCAGTAGACTGTGCTCTGGGCTTGAAGTCCAAGCTGCATTAGAAAGTGTCTAGCCAGGAGACCCCCACGGGATACTGGAAAGGGAAACTCTGCTTAGCACCCCTGAGCATGTAGCTGGATGCTCATGCAATTTGATGTCCTCTAGTAGAAGACTGGTCTCTCCAAGCTGAACAAGCAAAGGCAATTTGACTTACTCAGCCTGGAGAGGGAAAGGCTGCAGAGGGACCCAATTGCAGTCAGTCACATGTCACATGCTTCCTGAAGAGAAATTACTTTTAAAGAAGAAAAAACGCAAATTCATGTCCTGGTTGAGGAGAGCGGACAGAAAAGAGACAAGGATACTCCAGATGGTGAGAAGCTCTGCCATGTCAGGTATAGAAAGCAGAGCACACCACACACTCTCATTGCTCCAGGCAAGTCAGCCATCAACAAGAAAGACTCTCGGCTTCCCAGCAACAGGCTCATGCTTAAGGAAATCCAATCTGCTCTCCCTTCAGGAAACTCTAAATTTCCAAGGAAGATCTAGGTTTTCTCCCAGCTAGCAGCTGTTAATCTAAGACATCCTGAAATTCGTATTTGAAAGGAAACATCTGGAAGAAGGCATTTTGGGTCTATCAAAGCACATGACTTCTGACTCTTGAAGTGACATACCAGCCATGCAGAACATGTAACATTATCTGGAGTTATCGTCACCACCCAGACCACTGCAGCAGTGAAATTCAACAGGCCATAGGCAAGACTTACTGATGATGCAGTTTCATTCCCATGGATATCCTCATATCAGAGCTGACATTCCCATCCTGGCACTTGACAGATCCACAGCAAACAGCTTATTGTCTGAGGTCATGCACACACTAGGGAATGTTCCTTGTACTCAAGCTAAGTAACCTCTCCCTTTATCCATTAGTGCTGAGGAAAGTCTCACACTGCTTGCATTCTCCTCAGTCTTCTCAGCTCACCCATCTCCTAGCTTGATATCCAGAAACTGCCTCTATCTCCTGCCTCTCCTTTAGTCAATACTCCTGCAGCCTGCAAGCCACACAACTCAATACTAGCTCTCACCAAGTGGTCTTTCTCAACAGCAATTAGCCTGGATGTTTGGTGACCAGGCTAAGATCTGCCAAAGCCCAAACAAAAAGCATCCCAGCTATATCTTCCCCACTTCACATATTTTTAAACACACGCTTGTAAACAGTTATGTGTTCTCCTATTTGGGGTGAGGTTCTCTCATGCACCTGGCATGCGCTCAGTTGCTTAATTACTAATCCCTGTGAAAAGCATGTGGGCACACTCGAGTCATTAGTGACACTCTGCACTCAGTTCCTGCTCTGTAACTTGAGCCCTTCCACTTGGAAGCTTCACAGCCAGCACAATCTCCTCCGGAAAGTGAGCCTGGGTTTCTTGCCTGAGTATCTCTTATTCCTCAGGTGGACACCCCTGTGTCTGTGGCACACTCTGGTTTTGCAGGGAACCCGATGGGTGCATTGTGAACATAGGAGCAGAAAGACTCATGTCCTGCACTGAGCAGAGCCTCAGACTCTCAGACAGGCAATGGCCATGTCCTGTAAAAGAGCCCTGCCAAACTGCCAGAAGCCAAAAGGAACTGTTAGTAACACATGAATGCCTGCATATCCCAATCCCACCCTACTGCTAGTGTGGCTGAAGCACAGGGAGTGGCAGTGAAATGCCCACCAAGTTGCAGCTAATAAGCCTCAGACAAGTTGATGCTTACTTAACACTGAAGCAAAATGAGCACTGTTCCAGCAGCAATGAGTATGCAGAGTACAGTGTGCACCAAACCTGAGCAAGAGATTTAACAGAGACGAGACCCTCACACAATCACACAAATCTGCAGAAACAAAGAAACCAGCTCCAGCTGGGAGAGCTCCCAAACTGCACAGTGCCTGAATGGAGGAGAGCTCTGGAGAAGCATCACTGCAACCTTGCTTCTAAGCTTCTCCCCAGGCTGCTGCCATCCAGAGTACCCTGGGATGCAGAGACTTTGGTCTGACCCAGGACAGCCTCTGTTATGTGTTTATCTCA